GCACCACATGCCAGCCAGCCCCGCCCCCTGGTGGGCTGAGCTGGCACCACATGCCAGCCAGCCCTGCTCCCTGGTGGGCTGAGCTGCGCACACACACACACACACACACACACAAATAAATAAACCACCAATCTTTTTAAAAAAAAAAGTAGCTTCTAGTTCTGATCCTGACTTATAACTGCTGTGTGGCCCTTGGCCTCCATTTGCCCATCTGTGAGATAATGGTATTCTCCAGGAATCCTTTTCAGTTCCTTCTGGCTCTGCTCCCCCTCCCCCCATTGTCTACTAGTAGACTGGACTTCTGTAGTGTCTTAATTCTTGGGGTGATCTTGAGAGAGGACCTGGCATGCATAGTAACTGTCAGCGGCAGTATCTGCATGTGTGTGCCTATCTAGCTATTTTCTCCAGCTACCCCTGCCCCCCCCCATTGGGGCCTTGATGCAGAGTGCATAATACATGTGCTGTTTTTTCCTGAGCTGATTTCCTTAGTTGTAAAGTGGGGCTAAAAGACCCTACTGTTAAGCCAAGCATAGTGGTGCATGCCTATAATTCCAGCACTTGGGAGGCTAAGGCAGGGGGATTGAAAAATCAAGACCAGCCTGGGCTACATAGTAAGTTTGAGGCTAGCCTAGAGTATTTAATAAGACCCTGTTCCAAAAAGAAAAAAAAGACCCATAATAGTTTAATGACTTTACTTTGCTAAATCTCCTTATTGCCTAACACAGTAGAACAGTGATAAACCTTTGGGGCCTTCAATGATACAAGCAGCCCCCTGCAGCATTTGCCACCAGTGTAGTAGAACGATAGTATCCTTGAACCCTGGATGCTGTGGTGCCGTAAAGCTACAAATGTTTAAGGGGTGGGATAAGTGGTCCCCTCCCCACCAAACAATTCAATCAAGAGTTCCCTTGGGCTGGAAAAACTCCCAACTCTCCTGCCCCTGTGGTTGTTGTTCTCCCTGGGGTGTTGTAGAGAAAGCTCTTTGGAGGCATCTTGGATAAAAGGAAGGCAGAGAAATAACAGATGGAGGTACTAGTTCTGGCAATGAGACCTCAGGCTGCTGGTAGGGCTGATGGTAGAACTGTGCATCTGAGTCGTGGGTAGTCACAGGCAGACCTTGAGGCCAGTGAGGCCCTGCATACACAGTAACCCAGTCAGAGGCAGTATCTGTGCATGTGTGTCTATCTAGCTGTTTTCTCCAGCTACCCCTACCCCCCCATTGAGGCCTTCCAGTAAGGGGCCACTCTTACAGGAAGAGCTGACCGCAGCAGGTTGAAGGCCTTTCCTTATCAGCTCTATGGCTACACGTTTCCCCTGACTCGGCTGCCCTCAGCTTTGCTCTGCAAAACCTCAGAAGTCTCATGCCCTCTCCAGAAATACGTGGCCCCTGGTCTCTAGGCCTCATCTAGAGGTTTCCTTGGTGCAGAGTACATAATACATGTGCTTGGGAAGGGGACTTTGCCCCCAGGCCTCCTGCGTCCCCATCTTTCCAGCTTAGCCTATACAGAGACAGATGGCAGTTACCTTAGGCTCTGGTACAGATGCTGATTGTCCTGCTGTGTGTTAAGTAGTGGAAGGGGCACCTGACTGAGCAATAGGGGTGGATGGATTGCAAAAATAGGGGGCACTCAGTTGTTTCCCCAACACCTACTATGTACCAAGCATTCAGCTGCAAAGTTGAGATCATTATCCTGTGAGTCAGAGGAGAGGATTGAGGCTCAGAAAAGCAGGGCTAGGGGTATGTTGCTCAGTGGTCGAGCACTTGTGTAGCATTTGCATGGCTGTGGGTTTGATCTCTAGCACTGCCGCCACATACACAAAAAGGGAAATGACATGCTCAAAGTCAGCAATGGCAGGGGTGGGGGTGTGTGTGTCTGTCATTCTTTGTCTTACCTTTCTCTCCCCCCTGTGTCCCCTTCTTTCCCTCTCCTTCCCTTTCCTCCCTCCCTCTCACCTCCCTCACCCCCTTTTCTCCCCTTCTCCTTTCTGTTTGTGTCTCTTGCTAAGTTTATTCTGCCAGGCTGATTTCCAACTCATGGACTTAAGCAATTCTCCTGCCTCTGCCTCCAAACTAGCAAGGTCCATAGGCATCAAACACCATACCCACTTCCACTGGGTCCCTTCTTTCTGGGCCTGACTGTCCCCTGTGTGAACCATTATTCATTGCTTGGGCCCAGTTTTGTCCCACTACCTCCTCTTGGGGATTCATTAGTGTGAGAAAGTCTTGGGTGGATAGAGGTGGGAGCCTGGGTCTTAGAGGTATCCCATGGCCTGCCCTGTTCTTGCTATGCTCAGATAACCTCCTCCTGGAAACAGGACTCTACTTCTTTCTCCCTCCCTCCCTCCCTCTTTCCCTCCATGTGGCTTTTTTTTAAATTTTTTTTTAGTACCTTTATTTTTTTTTTTAATTTTTTATTTATTTGAGAGAGAGAGAGAGAGAGAGAGAGAGAGAGAGAGAGGTGTGTGTGTGGCCAGCTCAGCCCACCAGGGGGCGGGGCTGGCTGGCATGTGGTGCTGGGGATCGAACCGCGGTCCCTGATGCTTTGCCAAGCTTGTTCCAAATAGGTGCTTTAGACCACTGAGCCATCTCTCCAGCCCCTCCATGTGGCTTTGACTCAGCAGAAACCTCAGGTCCTGGCCATGACTCGTGCCGGCTCTGGTTCTGCTGCTGGCCCTCTGGGTGAAGAGGATAACACATGAATGTGTCTGCGCGGGCCACAGAGGCACAGTTGGTGGTGTGCATGTAATGCCAGTAGTAGGGCCAGGCACATTAGCTAGCTACACTCTTCTAGGCCTTTTGGTCTTGGAACATGGGTGGCCATCAGCACTGGGAAAGATCAAGTTTTGTTTTTTTGTAGTACTGGGATTGAATCTAGGGCTTTTGCACTGAGCCATGTTCCCACCCACCTCCCCTTTTAGACAGGGTCTTGCTATGTAGTTCAGGCTACTGTTGTAGCCCATCCTGACCTAGAATTTACAGTGTCGATCCTCCTGCCTCAGCTTCCCAAGTGCTGGGATTATAGGTGTGTGCCACCATGCCTGAATTGACTATTTTATAAATGGGGAAGCTGATCCTCCAGAGAGCTCAGACCCTATCTGTGCATGTAGGTCACATAGCCAGTTGTCAGAACATCAGTCTAGAAGGTTGAACCAGGCCAAAGAAGATGATTCCCATGGGCTGTTTTCTGTACACAGGCTTCTTTTGACCTTTCTTGCCCTGCATTCTTCTGTTTTTCATCTGTGCCACAGGACTCTTTGCATAGAGGAGCAGTCTTAGACCAGGCTCTGTAGTGCTGATGGGGTAGTTGGGGCTCCAGATAGGTCATACCATGGCTAATTGACAGGTGGTTGGGGACTCTTTTCCTGGTTTCTTTTTCTTTGGGGCCAGCGTTCCCACTGGCACAGGAGGTCAGTGGAGTACAGATCAAGTTGCTTCTCCTGATGTTACATTTACCCTCATTTTGGTGGTTTTTAGGTTCCCTGAAGACTATGTTTCCTTTTCTGTCCTTAGAATTTACTGTGGCTCTTCTTTCAGGCAGGCTGGTGGTAACCAGGGGAGCAGGCGGTTCCTGGGCTCCTAAAGCAAACCGGAGGTCCCTTTCTCTTTAGCAGGAGAATCCAGAATCTCATGTTGAGCTTTGGCACATATATCTGACAAA